CATATCCTCTCTGTACTTTCAAGTTGAACAAGCATATCTGCCAGATACTAAGCAATCATCAAGTTCAGAGCAAAAGAACGACCTTTGTGAGTTGATCACGTCACTACGCTCATTTCCAAGTCATCCTGACCATCAAGCAAGTTGTGGTTCTCTCAGAATAAACATCACGACTTATCAATAAGTGATCAAACTTAGGGCTTCAATAGCATCTTCTTCTGCTTCAATCACAGCGTCTTCAATGAATTGAGTGTCGAGGAAATCAAACTCTCCCACCACCCAAAGTCAAATCCGCATTGGCAACTACCAAAAGTCTACCATGCCGGCACATTCAAGCATATCCAATCACCCATCTACAATCATACACATTATATGCATCGCATTCGACATCATAAGCATCATTTGCATACCAAAAACCAAATCACACTTCCTTAGCACTTTCATCTCTGTGCGTCAGCATTTGTATTGCACTTCCATTCGATATAGAACATCATTACCAACATCAAGCATTTATGCATACATAGTCAAGATCCATGATCAATCTCAAGATCTCAAGCAAATCTCAGCCCAACCAGAGGCATCTTCTTCAAGTTCGTGGGCGTTCCTCACACATTTGTTCAACATTTTATTGATCAAGCTCAAGATGATCTTCAGCCTAGCAAGGGGCATCTTCTGCAAGTTCATGGGTGTTCCTCATGAAGTTACTTCAACCTTTTGTTGATGAAGATGTGATGTCCAAGAAAATCCGTGGGCATTCCTCATTGAGTTGGTTTTCTTCAACCTTTTGTTGATGAAGTTTTTATCCACAAGAAAAATTTAACCTTTCTCTTGCGCCTCCCCAGTAAATTGGTTCCTTTCAACCTTTTGTGATAAGGGTGGTATTCCTCAGTGGACTTCTTTGCTTCAACATTTTGTTGATTTCTCAAATAACCATCACTCATCATATATCCAGCAAACTTGACGTTCTGTCAATTACCTCTCTATCATCTTTTTGGTGGTAGCCAATTCTAGTCGATTCAACCTGACCTACATTCTTTTGGTGTTGGTAGCCCTCAAATTTTGGAAGCTCTTATCATCCTTTTGGTGGTAGTAGCTTGTTTGGTTACCTTCATCTTTTTGGTGTCAGAAATCCGTGAACCTTTGGTCTGTGTATCATCCTTTTAGTGAATGACAACCTTTGATATCATTTTACTTATTATTATTATCCTTTTGGTAGTAGTAAGTTGTGACCTCACTTTCATCCTTTTGGTGAAAGGTCGTTGCATGTGTTTACTATCATCCTTTAGTGATAGGTCTGACATCCTTTTGGTGTCGGATATCTCTGTGTTCTTTATTATCCTTTTGGTAATACACTGTCATCCTTTTGGTGTCGGGAATCTTGTGTATATACTTACTATTATCCTTTTGGTAATAGTGAGTTGTGATATCACTTTCATCCTTTTGGTGAAGGGTTGTGTGCGTGCGTTTCTCTATTATTCTTTTATTGGTAGATTCGTCATTCTTTTGGTTTCTGAGTTGTGTGTATTCTCTACCATCCTTTTGGTGATAAACCTGCCATCCTTTTGGTGTCGGGAATCTGTGTTGACTTACTATTATCCTTTTGGTAATAGCGAGTTTCGACCACACTTTCATCCTTTTGGTGAAGGGACGTTGCTGTGTGCGATTACTATCATCCTTTTGGTGATAGATCTGTCATCTTTTTGGTGTTAGAGTTGTGTGCGTTTCCTATCATAAAAAATGATTTAATGATAGGACTGTCATCCTTTTGGTGCCAAATATTGTGTGTTTACTATCATCCTTTTGGTGATAGCCCCGTTATCCTTTTGGTGACGATAAGTCGTGGATCTTTGGTTTGTGAATCATCCTTTTGGTATTGTTGTGACTGGTGGTGACAAATTCCAGTGAAAAGAAGGAGAATCTTCTCTCCAAGTTCACCTTGACAGTGCTGTGTGGAAGCCTACACACAAGGTATGAGTTCTTCTCAATATTCGAACAGTTCATCGCTAAAAAAATCGGTGGGATCAAGGGTGATTGACACACACAAAAACTTGAAGTAGATTGGAGAAGTTAGAGATTCAAGAAGCGAGAATTGAGTAAAGATTTCACAGAGAGTTTGGCACCAAGGCTGTGTACAAGTTTAGATCGAGATGAGAGATTTATTTTCTAAGCATTATTATGGATAATGTGATTGTATCAACTTATTTAATTTTTGTTAAAACATAGTGGAAGAATAACTTTCAATGAGAAATTATTGGAGAGTGGAGTAGGCTCATGTGAGGATAATAGAGCTGAACCATTATACATCCTGGTGTACTCTCTCTCTCTCTCTCTCTCTCTCTCTCTCTCTCTCTCTCTCTCTCTCTCTCTCTTGCATTTTGCTTTTTGTAGGCTATTGCATGTTTAGGTAATCATTTCTCAGTGTAGTTTATCATAGCGATTTATTACAAAAGTTTAGGTTTTATTAGAATCGAAACCTATTTGTGTTTTAGTGCTGATTAAATTCTGCAATTTGTGGTGTTAGAATCCTGTAGCAATTGAATTTTGTAAAGAACACATCTCGTGTAATTCATGAATTGTCAATTCATTGTAGCTTATAACTCTTTGGATATAATCTCTAATAAATATGAGATAGTTGTTAATTATGTATTGTATCCGTGATTAATTTCCAATTCAAGCATAAAGTCTATATTTTTTGCTATAAGACTTTCGCATCAAAAACCCTGATTTTTCATTTTGAGCATATGTCAAAATTTTCAAAAAAGTCTATTCATACCCCTCTCAACTTCATATTCTCACCCAACAATTGATCTCAGAGTCAGTCTTTTGATCGTGCCTAAGTGACTCAAAAGTTTGGGAATATGGGTGATGACGATCCAAATGGAACGCTTAATAAAAACCGGTTTTTAAAGGCGAGAATTATGTTTATTGGAAAGAAAACATGTATGTACTTTTACTATCAAATGCCAAAAATATATTGGTAGCAGTTACCGACAGGCTTTTTATCCCAAAAGACGTCGATGACACTATTAAACACCCAAAGGGTCGAACAAATGATGAAACAAAAAAGACTTCATATAATTTGAAAGCGTTGAATATACTTGTCTCAGCTTTAAGCGTGAAAGTATTCTACTATATTTCACATCATAAGAGCTTAAAAGTCATGTGAGAAGCTCTTCAAACCCTTTACGAGGAAACTGGAGACGCTAAGGATTCTAAGATCAACATGTTAATAGAGGAGTTCAAACTTTTCCACATAGAATCTGGAGAATCCGTGGAATCCATGTAGACTCGTTTCCTCCATTTAATCAACAAACTAAACAACTTTGGAAAGTACGTTTCTAACAAAGACTGTGCTAGTAAAATATTAAGGCCTATGTGCAGTGAATGGCAGCCGGAAGTTACCGCCATAAAAGAATCTAACGATCTTAATACTTTAGACATCACAAAGCTGTTTGGAAAACTTACTGAACATGAGAATGAGATGAAATGGTTCGCGTATAACAAAGTAAAGTCGAAAAAGAAAGAGAAAGGTAAAGAAGAGAAAATGAACATTTCTTTAAAGTCTTAGTCATCTAAAGCGAAGAAATCAAAGGTAAAAAGTGATAATTGTGACGAAGAATCTCTTAAAGAAGAGGAGATGAAGTTATTCGTTAGACGCTACAATCGATACTTGAAAAGAAACAAAATCAAACATCCCGACAAATGTTTGATAAGTTTCAAGAAGACTCATCCACCTAAAAAAGAACATAAGAAAAATGATGAAGACATCAGATGTTATGAGTATAAAAAAACGGAATATTATATATTTACTTATCCAAGTCTCACTGAGTATTATAAAAAGTAGGATAAAAAATTCTATAAAACGAAAGGTAAAAGCTCTAAAAGTCGTAAAGGATGAAATAATATGGCAGCAATGAGGTTATCCGAATTTTATGACAGAAAAAGTATAAACTATTATGAATGCAATCATGGTGGTTCAAATGATGGAGCTGAAGAAGATTTTTATTCTCACTATAAAACTATGGTGAAGAAGGTAAATGAGAAGGAGAACGGAATTACTCTCATGACTCACTTAATTTTCAGTGTAAACAAATAAGAAAAACCTTAACTGAGTTCAATTATAGTGATATTGAACATATAAACCAGACCCAAAACCATAAAGCCCATAACCTAACTCAAATAGCAATAACCCATAAGAACTGAGCTCAGATAGCAATAATAACCCATAAGAACTGGCTGAATATTTTTCAATTAAAAAACAATTTCCTTAAAACTATCATTTTTCTTGATGTTTTTTATATTAATTTAATTTTATTTTCAGAGGCTTTGTAAGAGGATTGGTTTGATCAATATTTTTGCAATTGTAAATCATTATGGAATGTTTTCTTTGATCAATTATTTTTGCAATTGCAAATTATCATGGATTGATGTCTATTTTTTCTTTTATGTATTTTTTGCAATAGCTATTGTGGATTGTCTATCACAAAGTATTACACTAATGAATGTTGAAGAAATATTAGTTAAAGAGAATTTTTAACATAACTACTCGACTTCGATACCAATTGAACTCCAAAATCATTTAAATTAGTCTGTAGTTGATCTTCAAATAATCAAAATCAAAGATTCAGTTAGCATTACAATACTCTTATAAAAATTCAGTCCTTTAAATATTTTGAAACACATTAAATAAATCCTAGTGACTCTGAAACACATCGCACATTACTTGTTTAGATGATAAATGTCATCACGAAAGAGCTTGTTATGCTACGTGTAAACTTGCATGCATATACACACACAATGTCCAAACTCACCGACCAGCATTCCCACACGTGTCACCGTGGTTAAACATTTCCTCCACGTAATATTCTACACCGACTCTCTTTCCTTTACATATATATATACACATCAAAATTCATATTCACTACAATCTTCTTGGTTATTATCATTATCATATTAAAAGTATAAGATTTCTTGGTTGTTATCATATTCAAAGCATAAGATCAATGGCATCAAGTAAAGAATTCAAGGAAGACAGAGCCGAAGCAGCTGCAAAGCTAGCAGCAAAAGACATCAGCGATGTAAACAGATCAAACGAAAGAGAACAAGGTTACAATCTTCGGTCTGAAACACAGTTCAAACAAGCTCGAGCTGAAGCAGCCGCGAAACTCGCTGCTAAGGATCTCGAAGACGTTAACCGAGCAAGAGAGAGTGGATTCAATGCACAAGAAGAGAAGAAACCAGGTGTTATTGGTTCAATGTTTAAAGCAGCGAAAGAAGCTGTTGTTGGTAAGAGTAGCGAACCTCATGAAAAAGTGAGGGAAAGTTCAGATTATGGTGCAGAGAAAGCGAGGGATGCGAGAGACACTACTGCGAATAAAGCCGGGGTGTATGCTGATTATGCTGCAGAGAAAGCAAGGGAAGCGAAAGATGCTACTAATAAAGCTGGGCAGTATGCTGATAATGCTGCAGAGAAAGCTAGAGGAGCGAAAGATGCTACTAATAAAGCAGGGCAGTATGCTGATAGTGCTGCAGAGAATGTAAGGGGAGCAAAAGATGCAACTGATAAAGCGGGACAGTATGCTGCTACTGCTGCAGAGAGAGCAAGAGGAGCGCAAGATGCTACTAACAAAACAGGAGAGTATGCCGACTATGCTGCAGAGAAAGCAAGAGGAGCCAAAGATGTTTCAAATAAAGTGAATGAGTATGCTGCTAATGCTGCAGAGAAGGCAAGAGGAGCGAAAGATGTTACTAATAAAGCAGGTGAGTATGCTGAGTATGCTGCAGAAAAAGCGAGGGAAGCGAAAGCATGGGAAGAGAAACAAAACTTTGCTGCAGAGAAGGCGAGGGAAAACGAACAGAAGTATGCTGCAGAAAAAGCTAGGGAAGCGAAAGCAATGGAGGACAGAAACTATGCTGCAGAGAAGGCAAGGGAAGCAAAAGATGCTGCAGCGAATAAAGCTGGAGAGTTTAGGGATTATACTGCTGAGAAGGCTAAAGAAGGGAAAGACTCTACTGTGGGGAAGCTTGGGGAGTTGAAGGAAAGAGCTATGGGTTTCTTTACGGGAAAGAAAGATGAAACTAAGGTGTGTTACCTTCTTTGATCATTTTTCATTTTTAGTATTGGTTTTGTGTGTCTGGTGTCAATTATTAGTTTCGTCTGGTGTCTGTGTTAATAGTGTGTCATTATGGTGAGTACAGGATATGCTACGTGCGAGTGAAGAAGATGCTAGGATGAGAATGGATGATTTGAGGATGGAAGGAGGAGGGAGGGGTAGAGAGAAAGTGGTGGTGGAGGTGGACGAGACTCGTCCGGGAGTGGTGGCGGATGGGTTGAGGGCAGCGGCGGATGTGAGGACAGCGGCGACTGGAGTAAGTCAGAGTGGTGCGGGACGTTTGGAGGAAGAAGGCACAGTTCATGTTGAACGTCGTCGTGAGAAAATATGATTATCTATCATCGTCATCATGTAGAATGTTGTTGCTACCATGCTGCTACTACATAATCACTAGTTTTTTCTGTAATATAATGTGTTTTGTAATAATATTTTGTGTTGTTTACTGTTTTTAATATTAATGTTATTAATTATTCACCATAAATAAATCTTCTTTATTTTTATTTTTTTATTTTTTAATAATTTAACGGGGTGGTACTGTTGTTATTATAAGTTCATCCTTAAATTTATGTTAAATCTTTTTAAGGCTGTTACTGTGTCCTAGTGAGTGGGTCCACAGACCCTTAATATAGGACACACATTTATTCAATGACGTTTTTTTTTAAACGGAGCAAATATTTTAACCTCCTACTTTTCAATTTAGGATGATACTTTCATTTTCTTCTTAGATCTATTACGCACACTAATTTCATATAAAAAAAACTAACTATTTTAAATACCTTGATAAAAAACTATAAGATCTAATTTATTTTCTAAAAAAATTAAATTAGTCCTATGACAACTAATTTAATTTCTATAAAAATTAAAATAATTGCTAAAAAAAATATAAACGATTATTTGGCAACAATTATAAAGGAACAATTTTTTCCTACACTATAATTTTTTTTATTTTTTTTCAAATATTAAATATCATTACAATGCTAAAAAACTTATCAAATAATTCTTTTAAATTTAACTTATAACTCTCAAATAGACATAGTAACCTCTTACAAAATAATGAAAAATAACAAAATAATAAAAAATAAACATTCTTATAAATTTTTTTTAAAAAGGAAATATAAAAAAAATTATTGAAATTCAAAATAATGAAAAATAAACATTCTTATAAAAATTTTTAAAAGGAAATATAAAAAAATTATTGAAATTTACACTTTTTTTTAAATTATGATATCTTATTTGTATTTATATGATTCAAACATATTTCTTTTCACTTAAATTTTTAGTCTCTCTTTTTATCATCTTGCTCTTTCAGTCTTAATTATAAAGTTTTTTGTAATAAAAAAATTTATATTATATTTTATAATATTACTTAAAATCTCATATCATCCTCGTGCATCGTATGGGTTCCAATCTAGTCATAAAAGTTATTGAATGATTTTGATATCATATCGGTCCTTATGAATATGAGTTATACAAAAATATTAGCTTTAGTTGTAAATAATCAACAAAACAAAACGGATAGAATTTATATTGATATGGATTTAGGTTTAACGTTCACCTTTTTCTATCGTCTTCTTTTTCAGTTTCTTTCACATATCTCAGTTACATATTATTATAATATCACTAACTTTTTTTTATATATTAAAAAGCGTGTGATATTGAAAGTAAAAAAACAGATAAAATATAAAAGAGAAATGATATTCTTACACCCAATTTCTACACCGTATTTTATTGTTCACTAATACGGTGAATAGTACAATATTATAAAATTAAATATATTTTTAAAAAATATATAAATTTTTTTATTTTTTTATTTTTAAATTAAATGATATTGATATGAAATTGTGTGATTAATCAACTTCATAACTTCATTAACCAACATTTTACATATTATTAACCAACTTTATTTACGGTTAAAATTATTTTTAATTCAGGGCGTTTATTAACCAATTTCATCACTTTATTAACCAACTTTTTATACTTCATTAACCAACTTTGTTTCATAACTTAGAAAACTATTCATGAATATTGTTCACGAGCACTGTTCATGGTACTGTTCATACACTGTTTTATACTATTTCGCACTGTTCATGATACGGTGAACAGTGAATACGGTGTAGTGTAGGAATGAGTGTCAACGTAGCATTGCTGAATATAAAATACCCTAAAATAGGAGCATGGCAAGAAACATTATAAAGTGGAGCTGGTGGCAAAACTCAAAGGTATTGAGGCATGTGCGATCGTGTTTGTCTCGGATGATACAACACCTTTTATGTGACAATAACTGGATGTAAATGAAAAATAATACTCACTTTTGTGTTATAGTTACAAATTTAACTATAAAGTAATTTGAATGATCTATTTGATTTTTATAGAAAAGTAAGAAAAAAATTTCAAACAACCTTGTACAAGATCAACAAAAATAAGGAAGAAAGATTGATGGGAGTTTGCATGCATAAAATGTAAAATGAAGGTAAGCCTTTAAGTGATTTTAGGCCTAATCTGTTGAATTGATTGAATAGTTTTATGCTTAATAAGTTAAGATTTTTAGTAAGATAAAGTGATATTTTAAAAAGCAAGTGTTTCCTCTTATTATGTTTCCCTTGCCATCTTCCCTTTCTCCACCTCCCCTTTCAATGTCTTGTCATTTTATCTAAAGATACCGTTTGATAACAATTCATACGGTTGAATTCTAGGAAAAATTCAAAATTTACATGAATGAAAAAAAAAACACCAAAGAATCATCATCACCCCAAAGGTTTTAAGGTAGCTTTTGGAGTTTTTATTGCATTCATGTAAATTTTAATTTTCACTTCCCTCAATCAAACATCAGCTTCATAAAAACGACACGATAATGAAGGAGGATTTGGTAAAAGAGGGATGGTAAAGTAAACTTATTAATAGAAGGATCATTTGCTTTTCAAAATACCTAACTCAATTGCTAAAAACCAATATTATTTTGGCATAAAAACTAATCAAACAAATAGATACACTAGGAAATAAATCACTTAGAGACTTACCTTCATTTTAAATTTTATACATACAAGCTCCCATAATTTTTTTCATTATTTTCAATGATCTTGTCAAGGGATGCTTGAAGATTTTTTCTGCTCTCTAAAAACAAAATTGATCTATCAAATCATCAAATCATACAACTTGTGGCAACAACACAAATTTGTATATTAATTTTCAGTATGACACTCTTCATAAGAAAATATAAGAGGGTGTATATATAAGATATGTTGATGATGTATTCTAAATAAATTGAAAAGAAAAAAGTATACAAAACTTATTTGGTAGTTAAAGGAAGGGTTTGAATAATCTTTATTCATTGAATATTCATGTTAATTCTATGAACCATAAATTATATTGTATTTAATATAAAACTAATGTTATATGGCAAGTAAACTATCCAGATTAATTAATATATGAAGGAAAAAAGAAAATAAATAATTATAAAATATAGCATAATAGGCTTTTCATATCTTTTTACATTTGGTAAGATGATTTTCTTTATTATTAAATTAAATATTCACCATAACATTATGATTTAGAAAATAAATATTTTATAAGAGTTGAATAGATTATAATTTCTTTTAATTTTAGGATGCATCATTTTTTTATAAGAAATTACAAAGAATTTCCATTGTCAATTATTGAACCATGGACTAACAATCTACACCTAATAAGGGAGACCAAGAGTTTAAAGGTATAGTATAGAGTTTCAGCTATGCATAAAGAAAATTTTGAATTACACCTTGGGTTTGAGTGATTCATATATTGAGAGTTGGAGAGGTAGGGAAACACTTGGGTAGAAAATAGGGTTGTTCTTGGGAACTTGAAGGCGAAGGCTATTTTCTTGTAACTCATCTGTAATCTCTTGTAACAATTTTCTAAGTATAGTGAATTGGAGAGATGATCTCTCCCCTAGAGTAGATCGTTTGATCGAACTGGATAAACAAACCTTCGGTTTTTTTTCTTGCCTTATTCTGTTATATTATCTACGTACGGATTATTATTACTAAAGACCATTTATTTTGGTTGCTACTGTTCTTTGCCTCATAAATTAATATTAAATTTTGTCATAACTCACAACAAGATTCACAACAAATGGTGTGGTGAGCATGGAGCAAAGAGATATTGTTGACAAGTGAGTACCATGGTTAGTAGATGGCAGATCGAGAAATTTTCCAGTAACAACGACTACGGGTTGTGGAAAATTAATATGCAAGCAATTTTAATTCAAGAGAAGTGTATTGGTACTTTGAAGAGCGAAGCATTGATTCCTGCAAGGCTTACACAGGTACAGAAGACCGAGATGGTGGATAAGGTCAGGAGTGCCATTATCTTGTGCCTCGGGGATAAAGTTCTAAGAGAAGTCACCTAGGAGCAAACTGTGGTTGCTATGTAGGTAAAACTTGAATCATTGTATATGACAAAGTCTTTGGTTCATAGGTTGTATCTGAAACAACAATTATATTCATTCTGAATGGTGGAGAACAAATCCATAGTTGAGCAGCTCATAGAATTTCACAAGATTATCGATGATCTTAAGAATATTTAAGTGAAGATTGATGGCCGAGATGGTGGATAAGGCCAGGAGTGCCATTATCTTGTGCCTCGGGGATAAAGTTCTAAGAGAAGTCACCTAGGAGCAAACTGTGGTTGCTATGTAGGTAAAACTTGAATCATTGTATATGATAAAGTCTTTGGCTCACAGGTTGTATCTAAAACAACAATTATATTCATTCTGAATGGTGGAGAACAAATCTATAGTTGAGCAGCTCATAGAATTTCACAAGATTATCGATGATCTTAAGAATATTGAAGTGAAGATTGATGATGAGGGCAAGACTTTGCTCCTGTTGATTTCATTACGCATATCCTTTGAACATTTTAAGGATGCCATTCTTTATGGTAAGGAATGTACTCTTACTTTGGATGAAGTCCAGACGGCGGTGAAATCCAAAGAATTTTCAACGTCAAAAAATTTGAAGATTGAAGATAGTGATGAAGGCTTAAATGTGTTAAGAGGAGGAGGTGAGCATAAAGGGATGTCCAAATCAAAGAGGTCTTACAAGTCAAAGGTAAAATATTTTAATTGTCAGAAAATCGGTCACTTTAAAAGGGATTATCCTGAAAGAAAGGTCAATGAAGATTTTGTTAAAGATGTAGTTGCATTGGGTGAGGAAAGTTATGAGGATGCCGAATCACTAGTAGTATCGAGTTTAGAAACTGAAGATAGATGGGTTATTGACTCAGGTTGCTCTTATCACATGTGTCCAAGAATAGAATACTTTGAAACTTTGAAGATGGTGCAAGGTGGAGTAGTTC